CTGACTGATCTCTCTCTCTCTGTTGTGTGTGGTGTGTGTGTGTGCGTGCATGCGTACAGGTGTCCCTTCCAGAGCGTACCTGTGAGGTCCACCGGCTCACTCTGTCTAAGGACGAGCAGGCCGTGTATGATGTGGTCTTTGCACAGTCTAGGTAACATAGTCTGGGATTTTACTCTTAACAGGGTTAATGATGTTACTAAACAAAGATTGCCTCATTTAATAAATATTTTTTCAGTAATCTTTTACAACCCTGATAATCACATCCTCCTGAAACTGAATGCTTGCCCATTGTAAACGTGCACTCTCCTCTAGATCCACTCTGCAGAAGTACCTGAAGAGACACGAAGCCCCTGAGCTGAACAAGAACAGCCCTTCTACCTCCAACCCCTTTGACAAAGGTTATCTTTTTCTTTTACTTTCCAACAGACTACAGCACATGTCATGTATATGAAATCATGTATATACGGTGCTGTGTGTGTGCGTGCATGTGCGCGTGTGTGCACGTCTCACACACGTGCTCCTGTGTGATGTATACAGTGGCCCATGAGTTTGGGATGTCCCAGGCTGAGGCGTCCCCATCATGTTCACAGTCCAAACAGGCGTCCAGCACTGTCCACATCCTGTCCCTGCTGCTGCGGCTGCGTCAGTGCTGCTGCCACCTGTCCCTGCTGCGAAAGGTACTTCCTCTTGCACACAAAAGTCTGTTTTAAAGTGCAGATGACAGGTTTTGAGCTTTCTAACAAAAACGTGCCTAAAGAGGTTTTAGATATCATCAATGCATGTTTGAGTATTTTAGTGATCTCTCCCAGGCCCTGTTCGACCCTGCCTTATGGTCAGCTGTAAACTTCTGTACAATGCTCCAACCACAAGCCTACATCACCCATGCTTCCACAATTCTCCAGAAGTATGCAAAAGCATGACAGAAAACTGTACACAGAAGCAAACCTGATACGATGTGCAGTAGTTTCATTAGCAGGATGCATCCTGATTGTGTTGTGATAGCGCTCTGAAAGAAGAGTGATTTAGGTTGGAGAGCAAAGGGACAGGGGAACTCAGAGTGTAGAGTTCTATTTCAGAGAGTTCCAGATTGATGATATCACACTAACGAGAATTCTATCCAAACATTATTTCCCCGTAAGAAACAATGTTCATGTTTTTTTAAACATTATTTTAACAAGATAATGACCTTTTCTTATAATATTATTTCTCAAATAATAATTTATTTATGCAACTCCCAAGTGTGATGTCATGATTTCCAACCAGGTTTATTTAAAACCTAAAAAAAATGGCCAAACTGGGAAAAAAAAGGTAAAATATTTAGTAAAGTCTTAAATTTAACATGCCCCTGTGTCCCTGTGTGTGCCCAGACTCTGGACTCCTCTGAGCTGCAGGGGGATGGCATCGTCCTGTCTCTGGAGGAGCAGCTCAGCGCCCTCTCTCTGAGCTCCAGCCCAGCTCAGTCTGACCCTGACCCCAAACACTTGGTGTCCCTTAATGGCACCCACTTTGACACGCAGCTGTTTGAGGACACCCGACACAGCACCAAGGTCCCAGCACTTGGGAGACTCATATCCACAATCAGCTAAAGTCTGCATCAGCAGGGGTGGCTGACAGTGCATGTGTGATTTGTAGTGTCGCAGAGTAGATATGACGCACTATAACATGTTTCAAGGGGGGAGGCGCCAGGTGAGGGGAGAGTACACTATCAGACAGCAGCATCTAGTGGTGATATTTGGCAATACTAATAATGATAATAATACTATTAATACTATTAAAAAGGATTAACTATTAATACTAATAATGTTGTAGCTTAAAGCTAAATCTTTTGTTTTCCAGATTTCTGCGGTCATCTCTGAGCTGCAGGCCATCCGGCAGTGCGGGGCCGATCAAAAGAGGTCAGTGCTTCTCATTAGATTAGATTAGGAGGCAGCGCCATATCATAAAAGACATGATTGAGAGGGCCCTTCACATATGAGCGGGCCATTCACACAAGGTTCCCATGGTCATGGAAATCCTGGGAAAGTCATGGAATTTAAAAAGGTCATTTTCCAGGCCTGGGAGAGTCATGGAATTTTAGTATCTTTCACACAACTACAGCATTCTGGTAAGTTCTTAATTAGGCTGTTGATGATTATTTCTGAACATTTGCACCTTTTGTTTAAAAGAGACGACAATAAATACACTGACAGGATTTTGAATGTTAAAAACTATAATCCCAAACCATAAAGTGTGTGGAAAGAGTTAACATTTTATATTTAGCCCTAAAAGTCTAATCAACATGTAGGTGCTGTAAAGTCATGGAAAATTCACTTTAGCTCATGAAAAATGGAAAATCATCGAAAATGTTTTCAGTGCAAAAGAGTAGGAACCCTATTCACATATGAGTGGGTCATTCACATGTGAGAGGACTAAAATGTGAAATAAATCAATCCCAATGCGTTTTGGTCTAAACTACAGAGTTGGCTGACTTTTACACAGAATACTTCATTTATATAATTTCCTCTAAATATCCTGAACTCAGTGGAGTCATTGCGATGTTCTATAGTGACCATTCCAGGTGCACGCTCCCCTTTTTTTTCTTTTCTTCAATACATGCTGTTTTTATAGCATGTTAATGTTCTTGTTATTATGGCCATGTCCTGAGGGTCCATGTTCTCTTGTCCCCAGTGTGATTGTGTCCCAGTGGACTAGTATGCTCCACATTGTGGCTGTGCACCTGAGGCAGATGGAGCTGAGTTACGCAGTCATAGACGGGACAGTGCTGCCCAAGAAGAGGATGGACCTGGTGGAGGAGTTCAACACCAACCCCCATGGCCCGCAGGTAAACTCTGCTCTTCATCACCCCCACAGCTCCTCTTGATTATCTCTCTCTGTGTCTCAAATAATGCCCTTTAACAGCAAGAGCCTTGGGGTCAAGCCACCAGACAATGCCAGTGTTATTATTATTTTTTTTTTTTATTCATAGGGTTAGGGTTCATAATCTCTGTGATATACCAATCTTCATCAGACAAACCAGACAAAATAATTAACACAAATATAAACAAAAATATTTAACAAAAAAAACAAAACAACCAAAGTATAAATTATACTGACCAAATATATCACAATTTTTTTTTTAAACTAAAAAAAAACAGGACCAACAGGACAGGGGATGGACAGGGGACGGACAGGAGGCACACTGACAGTGTCACAGAGCACAAGGCGCACTCTCATTGAATGGTCTATTTTCAAACTTTTTTCACTCATAAACTGAAACGGACTATAAGGCGCATTAAAGGAAACCCAACAGTGTGATGGGTGAGTGGTTTTGTTTGTTTGTGGCGTTCACGGTGACTCTGGGCTTTGTTCAGTTGTGGCGTGTAGGGAGGGTGCTGTCTGGGACCAACGGATTGTCGGCGTGTTCACAGTGACTCAGTTGTTCAGTTGTGTCTAGAAGTGGCACATTGCACTCACTTTTTCTGTTCGTTCCTCCGTTCCGTTCCTCGTCGGCGTGGAGTGATGAGTGTGTCTGTGGGTGTTTTTGGCTGCGCGGTCGCTGTTTGCTCCGTGTGTTTGCGTGTTCTGCGGGTGGTGCGGCTTTGGAGTTTACTGAAGTGGTGCTGGGACACCCAAGTGGATTCGTGTATAGGGCGCTCTGGATTGGATATTTATATTTTTGGCGTCTTGGGTGAGAGACAAAAACTACCAGTCTCTCACACCGCAGCCATCTTTTTTTGTTTTGTTTTTGTTTCTTTAGACAAAACACTTGCGGTGGCAGTCTAATTGGCACCATCGCTTCAGGCAGTCTTCCCCAGGGCACCTCTGGCTACAATAGTAGCTTACCCCCACTTTGGTTGACAGGAGCTATGTAAATCCAATGCATTATTATGACTGAGTCCAGTGCCAGTTTATGGACTTAAACTGTGCATTAGACTTCTGGATTGTAACTGTTAAAAGACTATCTGAGGAAGTGACTGAGGGAGTGCTTTGGGGAATAGGACCTAGTGCACAGGATTACTCACACAAGTATTAATGAAGCAGAGCACAACTGTTGGTATATTTGAGGAGGGAACATTATAACATTATAAGCTCCATTTTGCGACACGGTGGCTGAGTGGCTAGCACTCATGCCTCACAGCAAGAAGATAAGATAAGATATGCCTTTATTAGTCCCACAATGGGGAAATTCCTGTGTTGCAACACGCAATTTCAGAACAGCAGGAAAAGGTAACATACAATAAAACAGATAATAAATAATAGCTTAAAAATTATTTAAAAATAGACTTAAAAATAATTGCACATGGATATAATTGAATGGCACATATTCAGTGTTAGCAGTGTTTGTTGTAAAGTCTGACAGCAGCAGGAAGGAAAAACCTGCGAAACCTCTCCTTCACACAACGAGGGTGAATCAGTCTGTCACTGAAGCTGCTCTCCAGAGCAGACAGAGCGTCCTGCAGGGGGTCAGACTCATGGCCCAGCATAGAGATGACCTTAGTCAGGACCCTCCTGTCCCCCACCTCCTGCACTGAGTCCAGACGACAGCCCAGGACAGAGCTGGACTTCTTGATGACCTTGTCCAGCTTCTTCCTCTCCCTCTCTGTGATGCTGCTGCTCCAGCAGACCACACCGTACAGGATGGCTGATGCCACCACAGAGTCATAGAAGGTCTTCAGGAGTGGCCCCCCCACTCCAAAAGACCTGAGTCTCCTCAGGAGATAGAGCCTGCTCTGGCCCTTCCTGTACAGTGCGTCTGTGTTGTGAGTCCAGTCCAGTTTATTGTTCAGATGAACACCCAGGTACTTATGAGTCCACTCTCTCAATGTCCCTTCCCTGGATGTTCACTGAGGGGGCAGTAGAGTGGCGTCTGCGAAAGTCCACCACCATCTCCTTGGTCTTCCCTGCATTGACGATGAGGTGGTTCTGCTGACACCAGCCCACAAAGTCCTGTATTAGTTCTCTGTAGTCCACATCATTATCATCCTTGATGAAGCCAATGATGGCAGAGTCATCAGAGAACTTCTGCAAGACGCAGCTGTCCGTGTTGTGTCTGAAGTCTGCAGTGTAGAGGGTGAAAAGAAAGGGCGCGAGGACAGTGCCCTGGGGCGCCCCCACACTGCCAGTCAGGAAGTCAGACACGCAGTTCTTGGATCTCACAAACTGGGGCCGGTTTGTGAGGTAGTCCAGAATCCAGTCTGCCAGGTCACAGTCCACACCGGCAGTCTCCAGCTTGTCCCTCAGGAGCAGTGGCTGGATGGTGTTGAAAGCACTGGAGAAATCGAAGAAAAGAATCCTCACAGGGCTGCCGGGGTTCTCCAGGTGAGACAGTGAGCAGTGCAGCAGGTAGATGACGGCGACCTCCACTCCGATTCCAGGGTGGTACACAAACTGCAGCGGGTCCATCGCTGAGCTCACAGTGGAGCAGAGCTGGCCAAGGACCAGTCTCTCCAGTGTCTTCATCAGATGGGATGTTAGAGCCACCGGCCTGAAACTGCTGAGGTCTTTATCGTGCGGTGTCTTAGGCACTGGTACCACGCAGGAGGTCTTCTAGAGTCGCGGTACCACCCTCAGCTTAAGGCTCATGTTGAAGACATGCCCCATAACACCGCACAGTTCGTCTGCACAGGACTTAAGGAGCCTGGAGCTGATGCCGTCTGGTCCTGCTGCCTTCCTGGGTCTTATTTTCTTGAGCTCCAGTCTCACCTGGGCTGCAGAAAATGACAGTGACAGGTTCTGTGTTTGATCCTGGGTCGCCTGGGCCTTTCTGTATGGAGTTTGCATGTTTCTCCCCATGTCTGGATCAACCCAAAACATGCTACACAGGTTCAATAGAAAGACAAGAAGATGGCTAAGGTCAGTTAAATACAATCAATCAATGAAGCTGCCCAGGGACGACAGGTGGACATGAACACTGGTGCTACAACCTGGAACAAGCATCTCTCCTGTTAAGGTTCATGTAGATATTGCACTGTCCCTGTCTCATTAAAATAAAATTCCATATGTTCCCATTAATTAATCCAAATCTTGGTTCATAAAAACCATGACATTGTCTGTTGTTCCCTGACCTCAGTGTTTGATCAACAGTCTGCCCAAGTCTTCCGCGACTAGCTGTGGCTGTCACCTGTCCTCACTATGGCAGGGCTCCCACACATCCTGGAAAACCTGTAAAATAATTGGCCTGTTTTCCAGACATGGAAAATCAGAAAGACCTAATGACCTGGAAAATATCTATATTTTGTCTTTGAAAATGCTCCCACCTGTTTGTTTTGCTGTAATTTGATTAAGTAATAGACTAGTCAGTGAAATTACAGTAAAACCCACTAAAATGCAGGACATTTTTACTAAATGTCTTTGAGAAGGACACCCAAAGCTCCCTATTTTATTTTATTTTTATCTACTTGCAATAGGCATGATCTTGTCATCATACACTGTTTGTTTTATTGGGTTCATACAACAATGCAAAGTATAGAATACATGAACAGAACTGGTGTGTCTGCCTTGGAATGAAAGACTTCGAGAATAGTTGGACAATATCTTTAGTGGAAAAGTAATGGATTTATAGATGCCATGATTACATCATTTACTTTACATTTTGGTGGTAATGCTGGTGTGTGTGTTTACAGGTGATGTGATGCTGGTGTGTGTGTGTGTTTACAGTTGATGTGATGCTTGTGTGTGTGTGTGTGTTTGCAGTTGATGTGATGCTTGTGTGTGTGTGTGTGTTTGCAGGTGATGTGATGCTGGTGTGTGTGTTTGCAGGTGATGTGATGCTGGTGTGTGTGTGTGTTTGCCGGTGATATGATGCGTGTGTGTGTGTGTGTTTACAGGTGATCTGATGCTGGTGTGTGTGTGTTTACAGGTGATGTGATGCTGGTGTGTGTGTGTGTGTGTTTACAGGTGATGTGATGCTGCTGTGTGTGTGTGTGTGTTTACAGGTAATGTGATGCTGGTGTGTGTGTGTTTACAGGTGATGTGATGCTGGTGTGTGTGTGTGTTTACAGGTGATGTGATGCTGGTGTGTGTGTGTGTTTACAGGTAATGTGATGCTGGTGTGTGTGTGTTTACAGGTGATCTGATGCTGGTGTGTGTGTGTTTACAGGTGATGTGATGCTGGTGTGTGTGTGTGTGTGTTTACAGGTGATGTGATGCTGGTGTGTGTGTGTGTTTACAGGTGATGTGATGCTGGTGTGTGTGTGTGTTTACAGGTGATGTGATGCTGGTGTGTGTGTGTGTGTTTACAGGTGATGCTGGTGTCTCTCTGTGCTGGAGGAGTGGGACTCAACCTGATCGGAGGGAATCACCTCTTCCTCATCGACATGCACTGGTACACCCTCAGACGCTGTTTCAGATGACACATGTTGATTGTTAACAGACACATATTACACTATCTGATATGTTATAATTTAGTTTTCTCATCACAAACAAACCTAGAGTTGTGTTTTGTTTCATTCAAACATATTTAACACCCATAACCCTGCATATTTAGGTTGAGTTCGACTCCCAGGAAGTGCTCCACTGTGTTTTTTAACTCCATACACCTTTACTAGAATCATTTTGGTCATTTCAGACCTGGAATTGCCAATCTACTGAAGTAAAGGTAAAAGGTAGATCTTGAACTATCTAGTCGTATTCAGTCTAGAACTTGAAAACGACAGCTTCGTTACAAGGTAGAACAGAGCATTTTGATCATGAAGATGTACACCGATGATAATAATTTTAATAATTGTAATAATAATTATAATTTACTCATATGTGAATGAAACATAACACAAGTCTGGGCATATAACGACCATCCAACATAACTTGAAGCTCTAATGAGTTTGTTCTGTGTATTTTAAGGAGTAGAAAATCTATTTTTCCTGACAGGAACCCCGCTCTGGAGGACCAGGCCTGTGACCGGATCTATCGAGTGGGCCAGAGAAAAGACGTCACTATTCATAGGTGACCATGTTCCATTTGTAGCTTAGCTGTGCACCTAAGCACCACAAGCACCACATTGACCACATTGATGGTGTGTCTTGCACTGCTTGGTATTTAAATGTAAAAAGAGATTAAACTCCTGATTCACAAGTTGAATCTGTCTTTGTTTCCTTGTACTTTTTCCCCTGTATATAATAGTCATTTAAGCATGAACTCCCCCTGCAGGTGGAGTCTTGTTTGTGCAGTTTGGCTCAGATACAGAAATACGAGAAAGTTCTAAGAGCTTTTGCAAGCCCCCTGTGTAGTCAACTAATCAATCGGAGGACATGTCTTTAGTCATCTATAGGGCCCAACCGATATATCAGTTGGCCAACATTATCAGCCGATATGGGCTCTTGGAAACATATCGGCGATTGGCTTAAATCCTGCTGATATTTCCCGTGGGCATGTTATACCTCATTATAAAGCTTAGACTCTCTACATTATGTTGGTTTAATCCAATTTACAGACAGATAAATGTCCTAATATGTGGCTCCGCATCAGTTTTTATCTGTGGAGTCATTTGTCTGTGTGTGTCCGTACTGTCCCTGAACACACCCCCAGAGTCATGTCACTCACGTGCTCTTGTTTACACCCGCATACACAGATCCAAACACTGAGATTATATTCTTTTTACGGACATTAGGTTTGAGTCTGGATTATAAGGATATTTATTAGTGTGTGTGATTTGAGAGGAGGCTGTGTGAGCACTAAGTGTTCAAAATGTGTCAGTTTTGAAGCTAGTTTTGGTTATTTGTTTATTGGTTATCGATCAGCTGCTGTAGCTCCCGCACATAAACAGGCTGTTTTTTATTGGCCTATTGTAAAGTGATTATATTGGCCGTATATTTGTTACTGAACCTGCATTGATATGTAAATGAGCTGTGAATAGAGGTGTGAATGATCCACATTTACACATATATTTAATTGCCTTGGCGTGCACACTTTTTTGGTTAAAGGCTAATAGCGGTAGTTTAGTTTTTTACTAGCTAGAATGTGATGCAAAAATGCCTTTAGTCCGACCTACAGTCTGTAAATATGACGTAAAGAGGCAGAACCCAATTTAAAATCCACTAGAGCCAAACCCAAGTTTTTTAAACAATTCAAGATTTACAGTGAATTTTTACATCACTAAATATATCGGCGATTATATCGGCTATCAGCAGCTCCCACTCCCATTTTATCGATATCATATCGGCCACAACTAAATCCATATCAGTCGGGCCCTAGTCATGTACAGTCCTAGTTGCTGCACTGCTGTTTAATAAAAGTATCTCCAGTGTAAGATGTACATCTCCAGTGTAAGATGTACATCTCCAGTGTAAGATGTACATCTCCAGTGTAAGATGTACATCTCCAGTGTAAGATGTACATCTCCAGTGTAAGATGTACATCTCCAGTGTAAGATGTACATCTCCAGTGTAAGATGTACATCTCCAGTGTAAGATGTCTCTTTAGAATGTTGCTGACTTGCCCTTCCCTCTTGGTGTGCTCAGGTTTGTGTGTGAAGGCACCGTGGAGGAGAAGATCTCCACTCTCCAGGTCAAGAAGAAAGAGTTGGCTCAGAACGTGCTCTCAGGGACTGGGAGCACGCTGTCCAAACTGTCCCTGGCTGACCTGCGCATCATTTTTGGAGTGTAGACACTGTCCCACCTACTTCATCTTTGGAATGACAGGTGTGGCCCGTGGAGGAACAGCACGCTCAGACTGGGACTGTGATTATATACTGTATGTCTGTAGCCTTATTCACTTCAGTATGTCTGCTGTGACTAGCAGCACTGTTGAGACAACACAACTCTGTATTCTTGTTCAATAGTGTCACTCAATGAAATTATTTTATTCACAACAACTTTTAATCTGGTCATATTTATGTTGTAATAAATCATATGTGTCGTCATATTACTGACTATTTGACTTCAGTGTGTTTTTGTGAAGTCTCAACAGCTGTGAGTGAAACAGACTGGTCAATAATAGACATGCGGATTAAACAACCCTCACAGGAAAAAACAGCCAATGAAAAAAAGAGAAACCTTGAGCAGAACCAGTCAAGGAGAGATCTCAAGGTCTCTCAACCAGGAGAGGAGCGGGTTCATTCAACCAGCTGAGAGAAAAGGTGGATCCAGGTCCATGGAACAGTATCAGGGCATCTGATAAAACGCCCCAGAGGTTTTGGTTAGTTTGGTCTTAACAAACAACAAAACTGTTCCTGAAAGATGTTTTAATATTTAACTGACTTGTCTTCATAGTTATATGGGACATACATTTTGAGAAAATGGCTTTTGAATTTATTCTGCTTATAGTAGCACCTACATACACTTACTTTAGTCCAGGCAAAGTAACTCATTTTGGAGCCAAACATATCATTAATGTAATAGTTAATAGTGTAACAGTTTTTCAGCTTAGATCATATCTATTAGATCTATGAGGTGTCGAGAACAACATACTAAAACTCCTAAGAAATACTAATTGAGGAAATTTCTTAAATTCTCATCGATCCAAGATATGTGTCATTTGGCCAGGCAACAAAACACCCCAAAGTTTCTTTGAAAATGAATTTGAATATGCAAATGACACATACAATAATTGAATATGCCCCAAATACCCCCAAAAGTAACTTTTTTTGTATTACAACTTTCTTTTGAACGTAATTTGAATATGTTCTAATTTGCATAGGCAGAAACACCATTCGTATGACAAATACATTGGCCCAATCTTCATCCATCCTCCTGCCAATGAGTGATGGCAGCACTGCTTTTAGGCTGGCCTCTAACCTGAAAACTGCCTGGCTTGGTCTTACCTGCCATACCTGCCGGTGTAGTCTTCAGGGTCACAGAGGCACACAAGCCTCCCCACCTCGACAAGGTACCAACAACAGGGGAGGGTTTTTTTTGGTATGCGTGTGTGTGTTTTGTTTTGTTGTAAATCAAGCCTGGATCCAGACCCCCTGTCTGTGGCTCTTGGTTCTGGCACCCCTACATCAGTTCTTGGTTTGTACTTTGCCTAGTTCTTTATTCATCTGATAAATTAGGCGACTGTGAGCTTGTGTAGCTCGTACCACGGCATTCTCCTCAAATGTTAGTACAAGGGAGCCCATGTTTTGGCATGTGTATTTCTTTGTGCTGCAGTCTTTCTCGCAACTACAGCGAAAACATCTAGTACTTCTGGTGGTGCCGCTACTGATCGGTTATTATGGGCGTAAATCTCCCATCCAAAACGTGCCACCCCCAGTCTTTTGGGGCCATAGGTTCAGTTCCCCTTTTCTGTTCCACCATTTGGTAAAAGACCCGAAGACTATGGAACTCTGCAGCTGCTGGAGAGTTTGAGGTTCCACTGGAGATGAGTTCTGAGTTACTTTATCACAGAAAAGTAAAATTATCAGTATTAGTGGTAGATTCAATTAACAGAAAAATATTGTTTTAACTAATTTGAAGTTTTTGGGAACATTTTTCAGTCAGAACTAGTTTACTCAAATACTAAATAAGATCCAAATCCCCTCTGTAAAAAGCAACAAATTTAAACCAGGCTCTTTTCTCTTTTGAATGACCCAAAAACAACATGGACATGAACATGGATCTTAAATCTAAATCGCCTTTGTGAAACGTTTACTAGAGTAGACTTGAACCGCATAGGCCTCCGTACACCGCTGATGAGCACATGATGACGGCCCACTAGTGGACGGTTCACTCACTGTGTTCACTGTGTCCACTGCGCTCTCCGTGCTCCAGGATTGTTCTGTGCGCGTAAACACATAAAGTCATGAAGGTGGTCACCATCATCGGCAGGTGAGACTGGACACGGACAGCGGGACACGGGAGACGGGCAGCGGGACACGGGGATAGATCCACGGTCTCTTTTTACGTGCATTGGAAGAGTTGCACACTTTTTAGTTCCATTTGAGTAAATACAGAACTGCGCTGCACTAACTCAAACTCAAATTGTACGATCTTCAAAAAGCTTTTATTGTCAAGGGCCCGTTTACACTGTTTCTGCTCTGTGTTTATGTTGTTTCATCTGTGTGTGTGTGTGTGCTGTGCTCTTCATCAGTGTTGTGTGTGTGTGTGTGTGTGTGTGTGCTGTGCTCTTCATCAGTGTTGTGTGTGTGTGTGTGTGTGCTGTGCTCTTCATCAGTGTTGTGTGTGTGTGTGTGCGTGCGTGTGTGCTGTGCTCTTCATCAGTGTTGTGTGTGTGTGTGCTGTGCGCGTGTGCTGTGCGCTTCATCAGTGTTGTGTGTGTGCGTGTGTGTGTGCTGTGCTCTTCATCAGTGTTGTGTGTGTGCTGTGCTCTTCATCAGTGTTGTGTGTGTGCTGTGCTCTTCATCAGTGTTGTGTGTGTGTGTGTGTGTGCTGTGCTCTTCATCAGTGTGTGTGTGTGTGTGTGTGTGCGCGCGCGCGTGCGCGCGTGCGTGTGTGTGTGCTGTGCTCTTCATCAGTTTTGTGTGTGTGTGTGTGTGCTGTGTTCTTCATCAGTGTTGTGTGTGTGTGTGCTGTGATCTTCATTAGTGTTGTGTGTGTGTGTGCTGTGATCTTCATTAGTGTTGTGTGTGTGTGTGCTGTGATCTTCATTAGTGTTGTGTGTGTTTGTGTGTGTGTGCACTGTTCTCTTCATCAGTATCGTGTGTGTGTGTGCGCTGTGCTCTTCATCAGTATCGTGTGTGTGTGTGTGTGTGTGCACTGTGCTCTCCATCAGTATCGTGTGTGTGTGTGTGTGTGCTGTGCTCTTCATTAGTGTTGTGTGTGTGTGTGCTGTGATCTTCATTAGTGTTGTGTGTGTGTGTGCTGTGATCTTCATTAGTGTTGTGTGTGTTTGTGTGTGTGTGCACTGTTCTCTTCATCAGTATCGTGTGTGTGTGTGCGCTGTGCTCTTCATCAGTATCGTGTGTGTGTGTGTGTGTGTGTGCACTGTGCTCTCCATCAGTATCGTGTGTGTGTGTGTGTGTGTGCTGTGCTCTTCATCAGTATCGTATGTGTGTGTGTCTGTGTGCACTGTTCTCTTCATCAGTATCGTGTGTGTGTGTGCACTGTGCTCTTCATCAGTATCGTGTGTGTGTGTGTGTGCACTGTGCTCTTCATCAGTATCGTGTGTGTGTGTGTGTGTGTGTGTGTGTGCACTGTGCTCTTCATCAGTATCGTGTGTATGGGTGTGTGTGCACTGTGCTCTTCATCAGTATCGTGTGTGTGGGTGTGTGTGCACTGTGCTCTTCATCAGTATCGTGTGTGTGGGTGTGTGTGCACTGTGCTCTTCATCAGTATCGTGTGTGTGGGTGTGTGTGCACTGTGCTCTTCATCAGTGTCGTGTGTGTGTGTGTGCAGCGGTCTGATCGGACGCTCTTGGGCGCTCGTCTTCATCAGTGGAGGCATCTCGGTGAAGATCTACGACAAGCAGCCAGGGCTGGCCTCCAGCGCCCTCAGCTCCATCAGGTGTGTCCCTCACGACACGTCAGACCATCACTGACAGTAAATACCATGCCAGTAGCACCATCATTTCACTTCTACTTGAGTCATATTTACACTTAGACTTAAACTTACTGATCCACAAGGGAAATAATTTGGACACAGCAGCTTGCACGTCACTATTTAATATATAATAATAATTTATATTAATATAATAACAAAAAGAAAAAATATATAAATGGTAATAATACATTTCTTAAAAAGTAGCAGAAATGGGAAGAGACTGATAAGGCATCAGCTTGGATCAGTTTGTCAATCCTTCCAATGTCCCTTTTCCTGGAGCTGTTCCTCCAGCAGGGCACAGTGAAGTTCAGGGCACTGGCCTCCACAGACTGAGAGAAGATCTCCAGTAACTTGCTGCACACATTGAAAGACCTGAACTTTCTCAGGACACAGCTTTACTGTTGTCCCTCCAGTCCAGTCTGCTGGACACGGACACCAAAGGTTCTTGTAGCAGTCACTATTTCCACATCATGGTCCTGGATGGTGACAGACTCCACTGGTGTCTTCTTTCTCCTGACGTTAATCACTAGTTCCTTGGTCTTGTCAATGTTCAGGAGCAGATGGTTTGTCTTGGACTGTGACCTTGGACAGGGAGCTCCCTGTCACACCTACTGAGTCCTGCCTGACAGTCAGTAATCCAGGAGACAGTGGAGGAGCTGACACCATCCTGAGCAGCTTGTGACTCATCAGAAAGGGCTAGATTGTGTTAAAGGCACTGGAGAAATCCAAAAACAATATTCTCAAAGAGTCTCCAACACTGTCCAGGTGAGAGTGTGCCTGCTGCAGAAGACAAACTTTCTTGAAGTAACAGTACTTGAGTAAAAGTTCTGTCCCTCTCCCCACTGTAAGTCTAAAGTGACAAAAGCTTTATGTGTCAAAATGAAATGATTTGAAAAGATATTCCTTCAGATATGATTTAGTTTGTCTCATTTTACTGTCTGTTCTTTGGAAATACCAGATTTTATGTTTGTCCTTTTAATTACATTTACAAATTATGAATCAGTCATTATGTCCCAGCAGTTACTGTTCAAGTAAGTCTTACTTAAAGAGTACCCAAATACTATTCTGCTCTTACTTGAGCAATTTCTTGGATCACTTCTTTTATTTGAGTATTATTATCCTGAAGTAGCGGTAGTCTTACTTAAGTTTTATTTTTGGCTACTCTACCACATCCGTGAATAAATGTAAATGAAACTCTTATTACAATCCCTAAACGCTGTTACAGTCAAATGACTGATTGACTGAATGAACAACTTTCACAACTGCTTTTGTAAAACTGTTAAGAACACGTGTTTTCTGCATCTGAGGCTTGGAAATAAGTGTAATATTTTCATGAGGATGGATTGTGTAAACATATACCTGCCTCTTCAGCTTCTTGTCTCTTATATTTCCACAGTAATGCACTAGTTCAACCGTTCTCCACCCCAATCAATTAATTAATAAATTAATCATTTTGATGTAAATCAAAATTTTGATGCCTAATTTTGTGCTCCAATAAATGTATAATGGTTTATGTTTTGTACTTATTTAGCTGTACCCATGGCTCTTATATTTACGCTCTGAAATTTTTTGTAAAGGAGCTGCTCGGAGGAAAATGGTTGGAGAGCCCTGCACTAGTCTGTTTAAAAACACACATCTGATGCACTGAGGACAAATTGGACTTAGAATCAAACACTGCCCAATATTCTATTCAATTTCAAGTGCAAAAAGCTGACATAATACTCAGGCTGTTGTTTGAGAGGTAGCTTTGCCTGACCCTAAACATGAGTGTTAAATATTAGCCAATGACTTGCAGACTTGTTCTGTGGAAAGCAGTGACCCGGAGACTTGACCTGTCGTGGGGTTGACTATAACCTGAGCACTACACACTCACAGATTTCATATGAGACATGAAAAACCTTTAAAGGAACTTTACACTGCACTCTTTGCGTGTGGACAGACCATGGCTCATGTGAAAGTTCAGAACATCTGGAATTCCCTCCTTGAGCTGCAGAGGCTGCACTAGCACTCATGCAGGTGCTGGGGTTTATGGAGCGACCGTTCAGATCAGTGAGAGACATTTTAGGTTTAAACACACTGGATTTCACTGTTGAAACTGGCAACCCAAATGAGAGACTCGTGTGATGCTCATTCTGCTTTCTGACTGGAGAATCATCTTGAGAAACAAAATATCAACAACCCTCAGGTCCAATGTTTTTGTAGTTAAGAATAAATCAGCATTACATTTGTTCCCAGGAAAGCTATACTAAATGATTTGCACATGTTTACCTCATATCTGGGAACACAGTTTGGTCATGTTTATGATTTTTAAAATGAAAAAGCTTGTTAACTATCTTTAAAGGAACATAGATCAGAAAATATTGCTATATTTTCCAGTCTATGTTATAATGTTGTTTCCTTTTTATATAATTAGTAACTCCAAGCAACAACCAAGCTTTAAGTTTTATTAAAAGGTGAACACACATTTGAGGATTGGTATTATAGTGAATGTAGCAAAGTTTCCCCTTACATACATACTTACATATGGCAATAACAGTCAAATGAGCTGTTGCATTTCCCTGTGGTTAGAGTGGGTTAGGCTTTGATTTGTTGCACAGCACTTGGCTTGTGTCTCTTGTCGAGGGGCACTGTCTGAATGCCCCTCTTAAACATGCTCCTGTCCAGTTCTGCTCTACTGCTCTACAGCAAGCACGCAGATCACACACCACCCAAAAGCCACAAACTGCAAGACTGGTACACACTTACTGGTACACTACTCATGCACTCAACCTCAACATGAGGCACTGGTTTGAGAGTGACAAAAAGCGATTCAGCAAATTCAGCTTCACACTAAACGCACAAGATGGGAACAATGTTTATGATTAATCCAAGAATCTCATCACGAGCCCATCCCGACTGATGGAACAAAGAAGATGCAGGGCTTCTGCTAATATATTATAGATTGCTGTGATGGGGTGCATAGTGGACAGGGGAAAGGCTGCACTGAAAACACCACCACAGATGTTGTCAACATTGAGATTGGAAAATCTTACCAAGCCTTATGCAAAAGATGGTCCATGTTTATGTCTAACATAGATGGGACATATATTGTTGAAACATCCCAGCTTAATGCAGAGACTACCCTTTTCATCACTCCATCCAAGACATTCACCACAAAGGAAACTATTACTTATGCTGAGTCTGCAGAAACATGGTACCTCCTACATGCCAAAGGTAAAGCTACTGTTGCCAAGAACTTTGTGGCTCTGTCTACAAATGCTCCCAAAGTGAAGGATTTGGGCATGGACATAGAAAACATGTTTGTGTTCTGGGTTGGTGGTTTTCTTTATGGTCAGCAGTGGGTATGACCATTGCCCTCCATACTGGTTTTGAAAACTTCGAGAAGCTTCTGTCAGGAGCTCACTGTCAGTACAGTACTGCTTCTCTCAATGAGAAAGCCCTGGTGTTTCTGGCTTTGCTGGGAGCCTGGCTGGTACATCATCTTTTTTCATGCTGAGACTCATGCCATGTTGCCCAATGACCAATATATGCACCACTACATGCTGCCAGCAGGGGACATGGAGTCCAATGGGAAGTACATCACTAACCATGGATCTCGCATCAACTACCTACTTTTATCAATTTATCCATGAGGGAACGCATATGGTGCTGACTGACTTTCTGATTCCAACTTAGTCTCAGCACCCAATCAAGAAGAGCCTGCACCATAAGATCAGAAAGAAACAGAGGCTCTGATTTGGTGACAAAACCACAGGAGGGAAAACAGAAAAGCTGTGTACAAGAAGAGCATGAGAAGACTCTTACTTCCTGAGAAAGCTCAGGTCTTTCAGTGTTTGCAGCAAGTTACTGGAGATCTTCTTCTAATACTCCCTAAAATTGTACAAGAACTCCCCCACTGCACCAGACTATAGAGGGACAGAAAATACTCCCTACAACTTTACAACAGCTCACCCTTATGGACCCATATTTGCACAGTTTTTCCTTCACACCTCTTGTATATAGCGCATATATTTTTATTACTATAATTCTATATTTGTTCTTTTTTCTTGTACATATACATTTATATACATATACATTATTTGACATCAGTCTCTTGCAATTTCTGCTTCTTATTTAGAATTTCTCATACCATTTCCCTTTGTATAATACTGTGAGCTACTGTGTCCAAATAATTTTCCTTGTGGATTAATACATTTTGTCTAAGTCTAAGTTGAGGAATTCTGTCTTGTCCTACATTTGACGTACTAGTTTACATACCCAAAACGTTTACTGAATTAAGGGTACTTTTACTTCAATAAAAATATTACTCTATAAAGAAGTGGTCTATAAAGAAGTGATTGTATTAATATATATTACTATAATAATATGTATTATTACAACATACACACACTCTTCTTTCTTACTAGACTATGTGGGTGAAGTGTCTTGCCTAAGGACACAACAACAGTTTTTTTTGCCCACTGGCGCCCCCCTGTGACGTGCTATTCTCCCATCCAAGTACGAACCAGTTCTGGCCCAGCTTAGCTTTTGAGATCAGATGAGATCAGGCTTTGACACAAGGTTTAAGATGAGTAGCAGTAAAAGTATGCTGCTAGAGCAGTACTCTGAAAAGTATAATTTCTTAGAGTAAAAGTAAGTACTACCCACCTCTTACTCTGGGTCACACAGAATTCACAAATGTCACAAAACATTTTTTCAGCAGCTGACATGTTTAGCCCGGCTACTTCCACTGACTGTCCACAAGGGGGAGCTGCTGCCCTTTTCCTGTGGGAAGCAGAGAATGAATGAACAGTAGAGTGGACAAAAACAGTACTCAAGTAAGAGTACTATTAATAATACTGCTAATGGTGAAGTTAAAAGTAGTGCTCAAAAAATACTATTGAATATCTATACAATATTTAAAGTACTGGGGAAAAGTTAGCATTATGTGATGCTCAAAATTGTTTGAATGTTTTCAAAGGACAAGCATGAGACAAACAAGTCATAGGCCTATCTGAAGGAGCAGTCCAAGCAATACAAATGTTCAAATCATTTTATATTGTTACATAAAGCTTTTGCCACTTTAGACTTACTCACAGTGGGAAGAGAAAGCACAACTTTTACTCAAGTAAGAGTAGTTTTATTTCAATAAATGTATTTCTCCATTAAGTAGAAATATGAAAACTAGAGTACAGATGTTTTCAATAGGAAGAAATTGGCCCATGTTACATTGCTCTCTGTTAGAATATTGCTCTTCTCATTGCCTACGTCACTGATACTAGTACTACCCACCTCGGAACCCTGGCAGTGTGCTTTAGACACTGAACCATATGGACATTTCCATAACCAATGCAGATACCGACTGTTTAGAATCCAGAGCAACCAATAGTTGATTAGGTCTGCCGATATTTTTGAGCCAGTATGTAGAGCAGGTTTTGAATTTTTTTCCTTAAATTATGTAATTTAAATTTACTACAAACTCACCCACATCCCTTTTTACCACAAACCCAGAATGTAGAGAACTCCAACCTCTTTCGTCTGGTGAGCTACATTAACAAACACTGTTGGGCAAGTTACTTTGAAACTGTAATGCGTTATTTATTACCTATTACTGTCATTTCAAAGTAATTCGTTACATTACAATATTACTGCATTTAAAATGTAAGGCATTACATTACTATTGCATTACTTTAAGTTACTCTCACCAAAATAACTTTTGCGCTGTATATGGACTGAACCAGGACTAAACCAGGACTAAACCAGGTCTAAACCAGGACTAAACCAGAGCTGAACCAGGACTAAACCAGAAGTGAACTAGGACTAAAACAGGACTCACTGTAGGGAAGGGCTCGAAGGTGACCGCAGGAGAAAGGAGCGGCTCTGCTCCGCACCTCACGGAGGTAAGAGCGGCTGTCACCCTGCTGCTCGGGCTCGCGGCCCTGATTTCAGCAACTATTTGCAGGTTCCCGAGCCGGTGCAAGAGTCTGTTACAGCGCGTAACTTCTACCTTCCTTCAGCGTGTCCAGAAGTCCAACTTTTTGTGTGATGGTTTGCATCTTCCTCTGCCTTTTGGGTGTGAGCGCAGGAGCCTTTTGTCGGTGCAGAACATTTCGTCGACGTTGTGGATTTCGTCGGGGAGAAAACTTGCAACCGTACAGCACTTCAGAATCACACTGCTAGAGATTGAACATGTATTTAAATTTGGCAGCTGAACACATTCTGTACTGTACTGTACAGGAGACAGGAGTCCCTTGACCAGTCAGGACGCAGCGGGAGGAACGCAATACACATTCATACAATGTAAAAAAAAAAAAACAGGGCATGCAAAATTGCACAAAAAAAATAAATAAATAAAAAATAAAACATCTGCGAGACAGCGAAAAGTGAACTGCGATAGAGGGAGGGACGAGTGTAAACCAGGTCTAAACCAGAACTGACCCAGGTCTAAACCAGGTCTAAACCAAAACTGACCCAGGTCTAAACCAGGTCTAAACCAGAACTGACCCAGGTCTAAACCAGGTCTAAACAGCGTGGAGTTCTTTGTCAGTCCTTTCGCCCGCGGTTACCTGAAGGTCTATGAGGGCGCATCTCCGGCGTTTCACCGCTGCTGATATCGAGGTGATTTTAGCGAATTTGTATGAAGAAAAACCCACCACTTCAATCCAGGTTAAAAAAAACACTGTAACGCGCGTTACTCACATTTGTACCGAGTAAAATATTACTATTTTTTCCCCTGTAACGCCTTACATTACTGCGTTACAGCAAAAAGTAATGCATTACTGTAATTCGTTACTTTTATAACGCGTTACTCCCAACACTGTTAACAAAACAACAATGCCAGAGAGTTCCTCATTTATCAATCACAAGAAACTGAGTAAATATAAGAGCTAAACCAGATAAACCATTATTAATGTATTAGGGTACAAAGTGAGACATCAAAATGAGACATTTACAATCGTAATAGACATTTAATAAATGACATCATAGTTATTCAGTGCAATACATATGATTCAAAACGCCTACTACTTGGAAGAAACTGAAGAGCTACTGGTAACTCTCGAGCTACAGGTTGGAGATCCATTCCTTTTGGGAGTTCTGTAGTCACATTTGGTGCAGTTTGCTCTTATGACTTAAGTGTTAAAATAAAGCTTTGTGTGTGTTTTTAGGCAGCAGATCGACCAAAATAAAATATCGGCTCGTGCTGGAGATTTAAGGCTGATATGCTAAAAAAGACAAATATCGGCCTGGTATATCAGCCAGACCATATATCAGTCTATATCTAGTGTGTTATAGCAGTGTGTTTATAACAGTGTGTTATAACAGTGTGGTTATAACAGTGTGGTTATAACAGTGTGGTTATAACAGTGTGGTTATAACAGTGTGGTTATAACAGTGTGTTTATAACAGTGTGTTTATAGTAGTGTGTTTATAACAGTGTGTTTATAACAGTGTGTTTATAACAGTGTGTTATAACAGTGTTATAACAGTGTGTGTATAACAGTGTGTTATAGTAGTGTGTTTATAACAGTGTGTTATAACAGTGTGTGTATAACAGTGTGTTATAACAGTGTGTTATAGCAGTGTGTTTATAGCAGTGTTATAACAGTGTGTTGTAACTGTGTGTATATAACAGTGTGTGTATAACAGTGTGTGTATAACAGTGTGTGTATAACAGTGTGTGTATAACAGTGTGTCTGTCAGTCTGCCCCGGGGCAGCTGTGACTGTAATAGTATCTTACAACCACTGAGTGTGGAGTGAATGAAGAATGCACCAGTGTAAAGTGACAGAGTGTGTGTTGAAGTGCTGTGCCAGATTAATCCAGTATTCTTCTTCTAAATGTCATGTTCCACATGGACAGGCAGCAGATGTCAGAGCTGGAGCAGAAGGACATGCTCCGTGGAGAGATGAGTGCATCTGAGCAGCTCTCTCTGCTCAGCGCTTGTGATGACCTGAAGACTGCAGTAGAGGGCGCCTTCTTCATCCAGGTGAGGCTGGCTCATCTTTACACACAGGAGCACCCCCAAGAGTTCTATTCTATACGGGCCTTTCCTTTCTCTCTTCCCTTCACTCTAGCACTCAGTTTTGCACCTTCCTATGCTATGAGGCCCTGAGGGAGAGGGGCTGATAATGCCCGTCACTGTGAGGGAGAGGCCCCTAAGCAGGTGTGTGTAACACTGGAGAGCAGCCCCACATCATTTAGTAATTTTTAAATTAATCTAAGCATTTACAAGTGAAATACAAAATGCTGCTGAAATGAAAAGTGCATTTATTTGGAATTGGAAAGGTTTGAAGTGGTAATCACATTTTTACATTTTTTTGCTCACTGGTAAGATGATGAAATATGGCTGACAAGGATCTGTACCATGAACACTCATCAAGCAAGCATCTTCTTAAGACATAGCATGAAAATTAATGATTATAAAACTTAATTTTAGCGACAGTTGTGCCTCATTGGTGAAAATTTGGACAATATGCTGAGAGAGAGTTTTACAGTAGGCCAGAGGTCTCCAACCTGTAGCTCAGGAGCTACCAGTAGCTCTCCACCCTCTTCTAAGTCACTTGCCAAGGGATTTCTGACTTACACAGATTGTGATGAATAAGTAAAATTTGATTGATACATGTACAGTGGTAAAAGGCATTTAATTATTTTGATGCCTGACTTTGAACACTTCTAAGTGGATAATGGTTTAGGTATCTAACTGTACCTCATCTAAAGCTTGCTGTTCCTCTTATATATACTAAATTTCTTGTGACCGCTAAGACTAGTAGCTTTCTGACGTTTTCATTTTGTAAAAGTAGCTTACCGGAGGAAAAAGGTTGGAGACCCCTGCAGTAGGCTAACTGACAGTGTGAAACAGAATATTCAAGAGACTTTATATTTTAACACTGTCAAAATATGTTCACAGCACACATACTGAAACTAGACAGAAGATGGAGTTATAATACACCACTGAATGTGCCGCCCCTCATTAAACTCCAGAAGAAGCTGGAGTGAGTGAAGTGCACGTAAAAGCAGAGTGTTGTACAAGATGATGAAGGGACCCCCAAAGGGGACTTCACAGCCACAGGAGTGTGAGGGGTGAGGGAGAGGAGGAGGACTGGTTTGGGAAAGGACTTAAGTGTCCTGATTTCGAGGAGTCTGCTGTAATCTGCTCACACTGGACAAATGAACAACTGAAGGTGTGAGAGGAGCAGTTTGTGCACTGTGAGCTGAAAGACCAGTCCTCACACTTTTCCACGATCCCTTGATCACAGTAAAAACAATCACTTCTTTAATCTACGACTAATCTCACAACTGCAACAGTCATACACGAGATTACTAGAGTCCTATCTTAATAAGGCTAAGTGGGTTAACAGAAACATCTCAACTTGTGGTACAGTTGACCACTCCTGTTTCAAAATGAATACATTTTTCAATTTCACGGGGAGAACCTTTTAGTGCGCTTTAGTGGGGCATGTCCAAAGTAGGTTTTGGCCTGGAGGATTTAGGTGAGCTTTGTGCATGTTTTAGGTCAACGTGGATAAACCCACCGTCACAGGTCCTGCTCCTTGTTCCTCAGACCAGAGTTGTTCCTCATCCATGTGTGTGTGCATAATGATGTGACGATGAGCGCAGGAGGCAGAGCACAGTGCAAGCTTCTATTATTCATGGACCTTTTCCAAGCTGCAGGAGAGCAGAAGATCCTTGCAGCACTAGACCTCTCACACTTCTCACACTGTATCCTGTCTCTCCATGGGGACTTGAAGCCTGGTGTCAAAACTAGCGTGTTTTGTCACAGCATTGCTAAACCTAAGTTTGGATGTCCACAAATACAATGTCAAAATAATGTGGGTTTGTTAAAGTGGCATGGTAATGTAAAAAAATCCTGTAAAAAGGTGGCTCACCTGACACATGCACCTCTCAGACAAAGCTTTGGCCTTTATCACACACTTTTAGGGACACAAAATCACACTTCAGATGGCTTCAGTAATATGGTATGTTATTATGTTATATCTTAAATAGAACATTTTCTATACCAAAGGGAACAGGTGTCACATTTTTACAATAAATCTCTCCTGTCCAAAAATGAGGAATATGTCTTGTGTATATGTGTTTATGACACTTTATTCAGATTCAGCTTTATTGTCATAGCACTTAAGTACAGTGTAACAGTGAAATGCAGTTGTCTTCCAGAGTGCAATTGGCAAGTACTAGATACAAATGTCCAGAGAAGAGGATCTGAGGTGACCAAGGCACGTACAGTTACAGTAGAGGTACGCCGTTATATTTACACGACACTAGTGCTGCGATTTAAAGTGCAGGTTTATAACATTAGAATGACATTTAGAAGGAAAAAGACACAGGACAAGACAGAGGACAGAGGGACAGGACAAAGGACAGAGGGACAGGACAAAAGACTGAGCGGCAGGCCAGAGAACAGAGGGACAGGACAAAGGACAGAGGGGCAGGACAAAAGACTGAGCGGCAGGCCAGAGAACAGAGGGACAGGACAAAGGACAGAGGGGCAGGACAAAAGACAGAGCGGCAGGCTAGAGAACAGAGGGACAGGACAGAGGGGCAGGACAGAGGACAGAGGGGCAAGACAGAGAACAGAGGGACAGAACAGAGGGGCAGGACAGAGGACAGAGGGGCAAGACAGAGAACAGAGGGGCAGGACAGAGGGGCAGGACAAAGGACAGAGGGGCAGGACAAAGGACAGAGGGGCAGGACAAAGGACAGAGGGGCAGGACAGAGGACAGAGGGGCAGGACAAAGGACAGAGGGGCAGGACAAAAGACTGAGCGGCAGGCTAGAGAACAGAGGGACAGGACAGAGGGGCAGGACAGAGGACAGAGGGGCAAGACAGAGAACAGAGGGACAGAACAGAGGGGCAGGACAGAGGGGCAAGACAGAGAACAGAGGGCCAAGACAGAGAACAGAGGGGCAGGACAAAGGACAGAGTGGCAGGACAAAGGACAGAGGGGCAGGACAGAGGACAGAGGGGCAGGACAAAGGACAGATGGGCAGGACAGAGGGGCAGGACAAAGGACAGATAGGCAGGACAGAGGACAGATGGGCAGGACAGAGGACAGAAGGGCAGGACAGAGGACAGATGGGCAGGACAGAGGACAGATGGGCAGGACAGAGGACAGAAGGGCAGGACAAAGGACAGATGGGCAGGACAGAGGGGCAGGACAAAGGACAGAGGGGCAGGACAAAGGACAGAGGGGTAGGACAAAGGACAGATGGGCAGGACAGATGATGCACTTATAACAGTCTGGCTTTGGTTTGGAGCAGGGTTGTAAATAACAAACAATATGTTACCTTGTGTACACACACTGGGGCCAAGGCGGAGGGAGTGTCTGCCCAAGGACACAATGTCAGTATTCAGGTTAAAGGTGATGGAGGGGTTCAGGCTGGAGAGCAGACTCAAACAGCCACATACTAGTACTTCTACTAGTACATGTTTTACACACTTTGCGGGCTCAGTATATTCATTTGTTCCTTTCCTCGTCCATTTCCTGATCTTAACCTTAACCACAGTCACAAAGTATTACCTAAAGTCTCTCTACCTGATTATTTCTGTCTTCCATCCATCCATCCATTTTCGTCCGCTTATCCGGGGCCGGGTCGTGGGGGCAGCAGTCTAAGCAGGGACTCCCAGACTTCCTTCACCCCAGACACGTCCTCCAGCCCCTCCGGGGGAACCCCGGGGCGTTCCCAGGCCAGCCGAGAGACATAGTCCCTCCAGCGTGTCCTGGGTCTTCCCCGGGGCCTCCTCCCGGTGGGACATGCCCGGAACACCTCCCGAGGGAGGCGCCCAGGAGGCATCTGGAACAGATGCCCGAGCCACCTCAGCTGGCTCCTCTCGACGTGGAGGAGCAGCGGCTCTACTCTGAGCTCCTCCCGTGTGACTGAGCTCCTCACCCTGCGAAGGAAACTCATTTCGAGCGCTTGTATCCGCGATCTTGTCCTTTCGGTCACTACCCAGAGCACATGACCATAGGTGAGAGTAGGAGCTCAGCTCCCTCTTCACCACAACTGTCCACACTGCTCCTCCTGAATCCGAGGTTCGACTATCGGGCGGATTCTCCTCTCCAGTACCCTGGCATAGACCTTACCGGGAAGGATGAGGAGTGTGATTCCCCTGTAGTTGGAGCACACCCTCCGGTCCCCCTTCTTATACAGAGGGACCACCACCCGGTTTGCCAGTCCAGAGGTACTGTCCCCGACCGCCACGTGACGTTGAAGAGGCATGTCAGCCAAGACAGCCCTGCAACATCCAGAGACTTAAGGTACTCAGGACGGATCTCGTCCAACCCCGGAGCCTTGCCACCAAGGAGCTTTCCAACCACCTCAGTGACTTCAGCCAGGGTGATGGATGAGTCCGCCTCTGAGTCCCCAGCCTCGGCCTCCTCCTCGGAAGACGTGACGGTGGGATTGAGGAGATCCTCAAAGTATTCCTTCCACCGCCGGACAACGTCCCCAGTTGAGGTCAACAGCTCTCCCAGTGTTGGTGAAGGACTGCTTCCCCCTTCTGAGGCGCTGGACGGTTTGCCAGAATCTCTTTGAGGCCATCCGATAGTCCTTCTCCATGGCCTCCCCGAACTCCTCCCAGCTCCGAGTTTTTGCCTCCGCAACCACACGAGCTGCAGCACGCTTGGCCCGCCGGTACCCATCGGCTGCCTCAGGAGTCCCACGAGCCAGCAAGGCCCGATAGGACTCCTTCTTCAGCTTGACGGCAACTCTTACTTCCGGTGTCCAAAACCGGGTTCGGGGATTGACAGGCACCACAGACCTTACGCCCACAGCTCCGAGCAGCCGCATCGACAATAGAGGTCGAGAATGAAGCCCACTCGGACTCCATGTCCCCAGACTCCCCCGGAATCCGGGAGAAGTCCTCCCGGAGGTGCGAGTTGAAAGTCCCTCTGACAGAGGGCTCTGCCAGACGTTCCCAGCAGACCCTCACTACACGCTTGGGCCTGCCAGGTCTTTCCGGCTTCCT